TCACCTAACTCTTTCATATGTAGAACATAGTCATTCACACTCTGTGATTCCTTTTTAGTGGTCTGAAGCATATTCCTAAGTTGTAAGGTTCTAGCCTTGGAAACCGATTGAAAATGCAATTCCAATGTGTGCCAAATTTCATACGCAGTACTACATTTAGATACATGCCTAAACATAGATTCAGATATTGATGATAGCAACCAGCTAACCAAGAACTGATCAGCCTTCTTCCAATTAAAATACTTAGGGTTTGATCGCTTAATTGCATGTTCATTCCCTTCTAATTTCTCCACTATAAACAGAGGGGGACAAGGATTCGCACCTGTAACGAAGCAATCTAACTCATGAGAAGCTAATGCAGGTAAAACTTAAGAACGCCAGTAGTTATAGTTCTTTTCCACCAGCTTCACCGAAAGATTAGGAAGTGAGGAATGAACTGTTAAGTTCTATGTATGTCCATTACTAAGTTGTTCAGCATCAACCTTGGATGTATTATCTGAGAAAAAAGGAGTGGAACTTGCCATTGACGCTAGTCTATGGCTCTGATACCATGAAAAGACTAGAAGATTGTAAACTGTAAAAGAAACAGAGCAATCGTGAAAAAGAGGAAAAACAGAGCAAGACAAATCGTATTTCTCTTCTTCACTAACTGAATTTTTCAACATACAATAGCTGAGTTCTTTTATACATAAGAGTAAAGTAACAAAACTAAAACTACGTCGTTTTGAGCTTTACATTATGTGAGTTGAAACTACACCGTTTGATCCTCCAACTCTCTTATTATACTAACAAGTGATTATGTATTTGTTTATTTTGGTTGGTATTTGTAGTTTTGTATTATGTGTTATTGACTTCTTGTGTTTGTTTATGTGTATTACTATTAGTGATTATGTATTTGTTTATTTTAATTGGTATTTATAGTTTTGCATTATATGTTATTGACTTATTGTGTTTGTTTATGTGTTATTTGTTTATTTTGGTTTCTATTTGTTTATATTTTAAATTGAATTGAATTTAGAGTAGTTGATTTTGGGGATGTAAATGTAAAAAATTAAAACTGCAGGAATTTTGGGGGTGTAACTGTCATAATTGAAAACTATTGGGGGTGAAAGAAAAATTAAAACTTGGAGAGAGCAAAAAGGGGCACTCATGGGTCCGCCTGTACCCAGATATGGTAGGGTACGGGCCCAATATTTTGCACCCGTATATCTCGACCCGTATGGGGCCCGTACCAGTGACGAAACGACCCACCCGCCCGTTTTGCCAAGTCTAATCAAGATTAAGCCTTTATTAGAAACACAAAAGAAGAAATAATAATAAATAAAAACAAATAACTAAAATATATTAACAACTAATTATAACAAAATATAGATGTACAAAAAAAAAAAAAAAAAAAAAACCTCCTCAATAATCAAACTTCCCTTAATTAGGTTAGAATAAAANCGATTATTTGTTTAACATTTTCTGTCTGTGTTCTGATGTGCAGCCCTGTGTTGCTTCCATGTTAGCAGCTTAACTTTATCGTACCTTTACGTGATGCATGTTTGATCTGTGGCCATGCGACATCAATAGCAGCAGCGAAATTACCCCTAGTAGCAACAAACAGCCCCAGGGGGCAGCAACCCCAACAGCAGCCAAAAAACCAGCAGCAGCAGCGAGAAATCAACCCAGGTGTAGAGGTGGAACAAATGGGTCGGGGTTAGGCGGGTCAACCCTAACCCGGCCCGCAATGAAGCGGGTTGAACCCGGACCGCCATATTGGCGGTCCGTGTTGAACCCAACTTGGAAGCAACCCTCGGGCGGGCCGGGTTGCAAAATGGCAACCCGCTAACCCGGCGGGTTGCTGTTTTGTCTCTTCTAAAAGAGACCGCCAACCCGCCGGGTTGGTTGTTGTCAACCCGACAGGTTGACCCGCGGGTTGGCCCAAAAAAAATAAAAAAAAATAAAAAATTTAATTTGTTTTTTCAAATTACCTATTTATCCTTGAAATATAGTCGTTTTATAGCCGTTGGAGGGGTCTTTTTCGTTATTTTTCTTTCCCATTTTTTCTATAAACTGGCCCTAAACTCTCACATTTTTCTCACAACTCAAATTCTCTCATTCTCTCATATTCTTTAATCTCTAATCTTTCAATTATTCATTTATTCTCTTAATCTCTTTGTTATCAATTTGCTCGTATTTTAATTTTTATTAGTTTTTGCAATTTTTAATTCATATTTCCAATTTTTCAAATTCCAAATTCCATATTCCAATTCTCTTTCTTTAATTTTTATTTCTTCTACATCAATTTTTTTTTTCAACTACAATTGATAGATATTTTTCTCCCATCAATTACAATGATGAAGGAAATTACTATCCTAGTCATAGTCCCACTGATTTTACTAACATAAATGCAGGAGGAGATTCAAATAGTCCCGCTTTCCCATTCTCAGAATCCGATACACCTCAAAATATGCCACTGATTCCAATAGCTCCTGGTGATTCTAGAAGTCGTCTTCGTAATCGTCGTGCTCGTCCAACTTCATCTCAAGCTGAGATGGGATCATCAACTGCCGTCGAAAACGAAGACAGACACACATCAGACGTTTGGGCGCATTTCGACAAGTTTTACAAGACAGGAAATGGCGTTCAAGTCAAGAAAGAGATATGCAAATGTTGTGGAAATATTTATAAAGTTGATTTAGATAATGGTACTAGTACTTTAAAAATGCATGCTAATAAACATATTAATCAACATGGAAATAGAGAAATCAATCAAACTCAAATAACTAATATGGGTACTAATTGGCGTTATAATTATGATGTATATAGGGAATAATTAGCTTTATATATTGCTGTAACTGATCAACCTATTAATATGGCTGAAGATAAATATTTTGAAAGATTTGTTCAAAATTCATTTTTTCCAGANAGAAATTTTTAAATTTATAAAAAACTAAAATTGAAACTTTGAAGGGCATTTTAGTCTTTTCACTATTAATAAACAGAAATCAGTAACAGAATATGACGGAAGGTACCTATTTGTCATTTCAAAATCTTTTGAGTACCAACTGTCGTTACGGTAAATCTTGGGTTTGCACAAGTCGTTCGGCCATATTAAAATGATAAAAAGTGGTTTACTTTCTTAATTGAGGCATCAAATAAGTGAAGTGAAGTCTCGTTTCTTGCGCCAACGAAACCATCCTATTCAAACCCAGTTCTACAACTACAAGTAATGAATAAACCCTACCGTCACTCAAGAAAATGTTTGAACGCTTTCATATTTGAGAAATGCTACTCTTATTCACCCTTTTACTCATTTTCTCTTACTCACTTACCTGGCATTCAGCAGCCCTTCAAATTTAAAAGGAAAAAATGTTTATTTTAAGCCCTAAACTGAAATTTGGAGGGGAACCCCTCCAAATAGAGAGTAAACACCCTGTTTTTCGCAGGTTTCAGAATCGGCAACATCCCCTCTTGTTCTTGCTGCTTGGGTCTCTCTTGGTTTGCTAAAATAGATAGGGCATTACCGCTCTTTGCTAGGATAGGAGAAGGACATGCATTAAAGGCCGGGAACAAATGCTTCAAGCCTGTACCTCTTTCGTCCCCATCGCCCACTACCAGTAGCAGAAGATTACCCAACTATAACTACAGGACCCCAGTCGTCTTCTTCCCATCCCATAGTTTCTGTCCCTTCATCCCCGCCCAATCAATAGGCACCTACGAAGGAATGGAGCTTTTTTAATTCAACAGAGCATGTTTCGTTAACTCTCTTTACACACTTATATTCAATATGTATGCCTGTTTCTATTTCTTTTCATCTCCATTTATAGGGAAGACTATTAAACCAAGCTACTCTAGACTGTTGTTAGTGAAGTTAGAGCCTCTAGACTGTTGTTGTTCTTGGATGAGCCCTAAGAGGCTTTCAGTTTACGTTCTTGCTCTTTTCTTCCTTTCTTGTTGGTTTCAATGGCCGTGCCCGCGGCTTTGGNAAGAGGACCCGAATCCGAAGCACAACCTCCTCTTCAGAAGCTCCACCAACAACAACAACTAATGTACTGTCTTCTATGCAGTCGCAGAGTAATGAGCTTCAATAATATTTGACAACCCCTGAAATGTTACCAGTAGACCACAACAGAGAGCCAACATTGATCTCTTAGACTATTGGAGAGCCAGAAAATATATTTTTTTGGTATTATCAAGACTTGCCTTGTATGTTTTCGCTGTTCCTGTCTCAATCGTCTCATCCGAACAAACATTTAGTGTAAGTGGAAGAATTTTAAATGAAAGGAGGACTAAACTTTCACACAAAATGATTGAAGTCCTCACATGTCTTCGAGATTGGGAACGGTCACGTCATCAAGATCAATACGAGGTTGTCGACGATACTTTAATAGAATCATTTCAATTTTGTAATATAAATAATACGGATGAGGGAGGTCCTAGTGAACCCCAAAATTAGTTGTTTTGTAAATTGTAACGTGTAAATTAATTGTCAATTATTGCACTCTTTTTTCCTTACCAAGTTTTTGTCCCATTGGGTTTTTCTTGGTGAGGTTTTTAACGAGGCAATAATTATTGTAATTTCTTATTTTATTTTTGAATAAATTTAATTATTCTTATATTACAATTTTAATGTATTAAAATTGAATTTTGGAATGTTAACAAAAAATATTTTAATTTAATTTAATTATTGATATTTGAAAAGAAATTAACACTTAACTAAAAACAATTACATTTATTCATTTATAAATTGTTAATTATTCATTTGAAAAGTTAATTAAACATTTAAACTTAAACAAAATTAAAAAAAAAAATCAAAAAGAGAGTTAACCCGGCCCAACCTGCGGCCTAACCTGGCGGGTTAGGGTTGGCAGTTCGGGTTGGGCCAGCCAATTCCCCAACCTTGGCGGGCCTAACCCGGCCTGCCAATGTTGCCGGGTAGGTTAGGACCGACCCGCCACTTTGCACAACCGCCGCGGGTCGAGCCAGGCTGGGCCGGGCTGGCTGCTTTTCCACCTCTAGCCAGGAGCAACAACCAAAATCCCAACAGCAGTAGCAAAATCACCCCGAGCAACAGCAAAGAAAAATCCCAACGACAGCAAAACAGCCCCAGGGACAGCAGCCCCAGCAGTAGCAAAAAGAAACCAACAGCACTAAAAGGCCCCAGTAGCAACAACAAATCAACCCAAGAGCAGCAAATCATTTCATTGCAGAGGAGACTATTGTTATTTGTTATTGTTGACAAAGTTTGATGTTATATAGACGACATAATTTATGATCTAATGTGATGCATTCAATAGGAAATATGATTTATTTGGTGTCTGTTTAATCACAATTGCTTTGTTTTATGGAATGGATGCTATGCTCAATGTTGCATTAAATTAAAAGAAAATATATTGAAGTAAATTATATAAAACTTGTACATAACAAAACTCTAAACTTTGTTCTTGTATGGGTTGCATTACAAAAAATCAGAGTACACAACATACATTAAAATAGGAAGAATAGTCAAGGATATACAATTCTTATAATGTTATACACAAAAGATTTACAAGTAACAAGCAAAATATTGCTCCATACAAATTTGCATTCCCCTAACAATGTCCAATACCCGACTTTTGTACAAGCACACAAAAATGCAGGATTCAAGTGCTGAAACTCCAACAAGCCCCAACATCACTCCCAGCAAACAAAACACTATAGAAACTTAAAAAGCATTCAGAATCTTCAAACACCGTACAAACCAGCTCTTTGACTAAAATGCTAACAAAATGCTCTTTCACAATGCACAAGAAATGTATAAGGTATAAACAAGTCAAGGTACAATGTCCAACCCAAAACAATGTAACAAAAGCAAGAACCAAGACCGTTGGACATGCCCAAGGACAAAGCAACACATGAAGATCCAAAATCAACAAAGAATATACAACCCTTACATAGAAAAATAGAACAACCATTTTTCAGTATACTTCATTACCTGCACTAATCTAACACCAAACGTCAATCATTAATCTGCATTTGCGGGAGCTGGCCTGGAACTAACTGACACCTCTGTGTAACCCTAGAAATGCCACGACATGTTTAGTGAAGTTTACCACACACTATCAGAACAAGCTATAATGAGTAACATTAATTTTCTAGCTACAAGGAACAATGAAACTGTTTAAAAATTTTAAACAATCCAAACCACAACCAATGTATTACACAACTCCATCATCTCACTTTAATTCCAAAAAAAGGGACAATTCAAGCACACTTATAACTTGACTTAATACATGACCTCTAGCTTCACCTCCTTGGATGTTAATCGCTAATGCACCAACGTCAATTGCTTCTATTGATTGTTGGGAACTCCCGACCTTCAATCAAATTAAATTTATAAATCATGAGGCCAATTATAGTTGGTAATTTAAAAAGACTAATTGATACTAAACATAAACTCTGATAATGAGTACTATAATATGAATCACATATCGAGTCTAACACATTTATTGACAAAATGATACATAAAATTATTTAAACACAGTTTGAATGCTAAAAAAGTTGCTACAACACTCACTTGGTTTCACAATTTCTTCTTTTTAGCTTTACGAACAATTTGTTCAACCTTTGATTGCTTTCTTTTTATTGGAGGTCGACCTTTGCTATGAATAGACCGTGAAGTCAGAATAATACTACTCCCCTCTTTTGAATTACATTGAACGCTTTCACAGTTTGTTATACAATTTGCAGCCTTTTCAGTCAACTCCAAATCCTTCTTCATGTCACTGATCATTTGCATCACCTTATTACAAGCATTGTCATTGTTTGATGCCAAATCTGCTACCACAGAAAATGCATTACACAACTGATCAAAACGTTGTCCTTCAGCATTTGTGCTCCAACTGTTATAACTTATGCGAACTTTGGTGTGACATCTGTATATATTTTTCCTCCACCACCTTAAAATGTACTTTTCAGGAACTTGATAAATATCCTTATGAAGCAACACAACAATTGCATGTCGACATAAAATTCCTCTAAACTCAAACAATCGACAATTACAACGAATTTCACAACTACTTTCATCAAAGCACACTAGAAAAGAATCACGACGACATGTCTCTCCAACCATAACAACTTCCTTCACTATAAATTCCCTACATGAATCAACATCTTTGCAAGAAGATATTTCACAATAGAGTTTAGCAGCAAGCTCTTGTTGAAACTCTTTGAATTTAGCAGTGGTGTATGCATCTTGATATTGTTTCTCCATAGGATAAGTGCTTATGCAAGGGATCCATGATTTAAAAGATCTGAAATCAGCTTCCTTTTCTTTTTCCACTTTATCATCCAATGCATTCTCATATTGTTCAACAAACTGTTTTAGAGTCATTTTTGAATTTACATACCCATCAAAGAATGCATGCATACTTTCACTACATTGAGTAGTAGACATACCTACCCAGAAGGTATCTTTTACAAATGCCGACACCCAACGTTGTCTTTCATTATACAATCCAAGTAACCACTCATTAGTGTGAAGGTTGTGTCTATCAATGAACCTATTCCATCGTTCCTCAAACTCCTCTCGTGTCAATGAATCATAGACGACATTTTGTAAACTAAACTTAATATTTTCACATTCACAATAACCTTTCAACTTCTCAGGCAATTTCTTCATTATATGCCATAAACACCATCTGTGTCGTGTATCGGGGAACACAATCTTGATTGCATTTTGCATTGCTCTATCTTGATCGGTGATTATTGTCTTAAGAGCACAATTCCACATTCATGTAAGCCAAGACCGAAAAAGCCATACAAATGTATATGTGTCCTCATGAGAGATTAACCCACAACCTAGCAATGTTGAATGGCCATGATGATCAACATCAACAAAAGTAGTAAACGGCATAACATACTTGTTGGTCAAATATGTAGTGTCAAATGTCACAACATCACCAAATTCTTTAAATGCAGCCCTACTCCTTGCATCCACCCATAGAACATTCTACAATCGTCACTCTTCATCTAAATCCATTATGTAGAAGAAATTCGAATTCTCCTTTTGCATCTTCAAAAAATAATCTTGAATTGCAGAAGCATCTTCAACACCAAGTCGTAGCCTCCTAACTTTATCAATGTAGTTCCTACAATGTTTCTGTAGGAAAGACAAATTCTCAGCTCCGCCAACTTCAACTGCTAAGGAATTGAAATTTTTTCTTGCTCTAATCCCGGCTCTATCGTTCACTTCAAGCTTCCTTTTCACGAACGGTTGTATTATTTGATTCTTCTTGAAATATCTACTTTTGTCAGGAGTAGTGAGTTCATGGTTATGATCTACGATAGTTGAACATATTTGCCATTTTCCATCATAACGTAGAGATGTAGTAATACGAGCCTTACAATCAGTTTTTGTCATTGGATGCATGTTAAATGCATTTCTAGATTCATTACTCGACTTCCCACTACAACTACAAGCCATTTTCACGTATTTCAACTCTCCATCATCTCCTTTCTTTGAAGATCTTATCATAAATTTAAAACCCATTTTATTTCCATAGTTTTTGTAGTATTGGAAAACCTCATCAAAAGAATCAAAAACCATTCCAGGCTTAGGCTCCCATTCCGCTTCTGCAGTTCTTGTATCTTCTATTTCTTGATAATCATTATCCTGATTTGTTGATATTATAATAGACAGAATTAAAATATAATAACACTTATAAGAGGTAGACATGATATCATACAAAGATTAAAAATCATATTAATGAACGAAGAAGAGATTATGAAGAAAAATTTACCTCAATAACATTGGCTTCAAAAATAGAGTTCCCTGGTTTTTTTTCATTGTACTCTTCCATTTTTGGTTTACGATTGCAAACAATATTGGCTTCAGAAATAGATTCTATTAAAAAAATACTAATGTTGATTAAACAGTGCATCTAACATTGAGAATTCGATAGTAATATTAATCATTGGTACAAAGTAGGTGCAGAAGTCCATAGTTCCACCTCAAAATTCTATGTTCTTTGAATGTCCAACACTTAAATGGTTCTACGTATATATAAAGGCTATCAAAACCATAAAGAAATACACATCTTCAAATATACAAATGACACGTGAAATAAACAGTTTATATAATGCTTTTTTTTTTTTGGGTAAGTAGTTTATATAATGTTTTATGATATAATCTAATTAACAAGGGTAATTTCATAATATTTTAATGTTATCTAGTTCTACAATCTAGAAACTTTGAAACCTAATTAAAGACAACTAAATAAAACAATGTCAAACTTGTAATATATTAAGCAAGTTTCAAACATAAACAGGTTAATAAAAGCAACATAATTTATGCCCATGTCCATCCCATTAAATGGTTTAAGTATAGGTTGTCAATGACCAAAAATCTGCCATGTAATGTTAAACAGAACCAGCCACTTAATCAACATTAATAAAGCTCCAATTTTTTTTTTCCATAAATTCTTGGTTTCAATTCACTGAAGTTAACATCTGGACATTGGTCATGTCCATCCACATCCATTCCAGTTCCTTATTAATATTTGTGTATTAGATATAAGATACATCAATAAAATTTCCCATTCAACTCTAATCTAATTCTCATTTCTTGTAAATTATATTTGTGATTTCTAACTAAGTTCAATGTTGAATTATTGGAAGTGATGATTAATAATTCCGAACACTAGTTTCATATGGATTAATCTTCAGTGAAAGGGAGTGCTTGACTAAAAGGTGGCTGAGCTCGGCAGTGGTCGTCGTTGCAGATGGTTGGACATTACCACAAATAGTTAGTTTGTAATCAAAACCCATTACTAAAATACACAAACAAAACCTTTGATGAATTTTATGACATTAGCTACATCATAAAATTCATGCCACACTTAAAACCACCACCATGCAATCAACAAAGCTAAACATCATATGTTCAGAACAACTAATTACCTGAATTGTTATAAGTCTTCCTTAGTGAAAGGTTCATCAGTTAGAAGCTCTTTCAAATTCTTTGTCTTGATGTTTAATTCTTTGATTGCCTATAAGACAAGAGTACACAAATGAAGAATTTATCTACATACTATATACATGAACTTGAAGTAATATCACTAAAAGTGATGACAATCCAACAAACATACGTCATAATAGAACACGTTCCCTGTAGTCCTAATAGCAACAATGTCAGTAAATTCAGTGAAAACTTTATTTAGCACGGGGCAATGATACTCTCCTGCAAAGAAAGTGAAAAAAAAAGTTTTATATTGTTAAGATACAATAGTAGTAAACCAGAGGAATATAGAACTCAAAAACAAGATAAAGACACATGGCCTATAGGCTTGAATTTATGATATCATATAAGTATCATAAGTTCATAACCATGTATGTCATGGCTGTGTAGGACTGCACACAATTTTACCAACAAATTGAACATTAAGAATAACAATAATTGGAAAGCAGAAGTAGCAATCCCAAAATTTCCATTGCAAAATCTATGAGCTTATAGATATAGTGACATCAGAAATCTGCTATAGCTTCCATCATATTCCCGTCAACAAGCAAGTTGTTGAAGATCTCTTCTCTCTATTCATTCAATTAAAACTAAATTCAGATAATACCAATACATCTATTATTCATAAATTCACATACCAAACATAAGCTACACTTGGAAAGTTCACTTTATCTTCCTTCACTATACCATTTTGCCTTATAGTGGAATTTTTCCAACAACTACAGCTATTCCCTAGTGCCGATTCCTCTCATATATTCCTTTTACCTCCTGAAAAAAAAAATGTCACTTGAGAACTAAGACTTCATTGGCAGTCCTAGTAAACTGAAAGCCTCTCAGGGCTCATCCAAGAACAACAATAGTCTAGAGGCTCTAACTTCACCAACAACAGTCTAGAGTAGCTTGGTTTAATAGTCTTCCCTATAAATGGAGATGAAAAGAAATAGAAATAGGCATACATATTGAATATAAGTGTGTAAAGAGAGTTAACGAAACATGCTCTGTTGAATTAAAAAAGCTCCATTCCTTCGCAGGTACCTAGCGATTGGGCGGGGATGAAGGGACAGAAACTATGGGATGGGAAGAAGATGACTGGGGTACTATAGTTGGGTAATCTTCTGCTACTGGTAATGGCCGATGGGGACGAAGGAGGTACAGCCTTGAAGCATTTGTTCCCGGGCTTTAATGCGTGTCCTTCTCCTATCCTAGCAAAGAGCGGTAATGCCCTATCTATTCTAGCAAACCAAGAGAGACCCAAGCAGCAAGAACAAGAGGGGATGTTGCCGATTCTGAAACTTGAGAAAAACAGGGTGTTTACTCTCTGTTCGGGTTCCCTCCAAATTTCAGTTTAGGGTTTAAAATAAACTTTTTTTCTTTTTAAATTTGAAGGGGAGAAACGTGACTGCTGAGTGAGTGGGAATGATATGGCATCTGCCATGTCATCTGCCAGGTAAGTGAGTAAGAGAAAATGAGTAAAAAGATAAGTAAGAGTAGCATTTCTCTTTCTCAAATGGGTTTATGGGTTTTTCAATGTACAAATAGAATATTGACGGAATATTTGATTATAACATTTTCAATGTTTTATAACAAATGACAATGTTAAGTATTGCTTACTAAATAAAACATGATTCCACAAATCTAGTTGTTGTGCCCAGTTTTTTTTATAGTTAGATCTCTGTCACACGTCTTTTGGGTATATCAAAGCCTGAAGACCAGTGTTAGAACTCAACGACGTTGTTTCAGGCTTCTATTTTAACAGCCAGGATGCTCCCAAGTATCATCCCATCAACGCTTGTCCTCTATCACAAGGTGATTACTATCTCAAGCATGAGTTAGACTTCCATTAGCATGGCTGGATTAGTAACATGTGTGAAGATTATTGACTCAGATCCTGATTAAGGGGATTATGCGTGCAAGCAACCCCGTACCGTCCACTTTCAATCACTATCAGACGAACCAAGTATAAAAGGAGCCTACAACCTCTGTTTCAAGGAGGATTCTAGTATTAGTAAAATTCAATAGAAAAATATATTCATTCGTTTGAGAGAGTGTTTAGAGTGGATAGGTTGCGAGAACTAGGTGTCCTTCATTTAGCTCGCGAGCTTCCCTTTATAACCTCATTTTACCCTGTAACACCCCCTAATAATATCATAGTAATGGATGTCGGTTTGGTTTCTATACTGCCGAATCATTATAAAATCTATTTTGTTCTTTACTTTATTATATCGTGTTTTGTCGACCTTACTGGTTATTAGTAACCACGCGTACATCATACCAGGCCCCTCCTGAGGTTGACAGAGTATCTTTAATTTATATGAATTTTCGCATCAACACTAGTCATTACTCAACTTTTAGTTATCGACTTTATTGGTCTGTTAAAGGATGGAGAGATTGTATGTAAGCCAAAAAGATCAAGATTCAATCCTTTATATAAGCAAAAACAGATGAATTCAATGATCTTATCCTTGATGATGGAAAGGAAACCTCATATGCAATTACAATAAAACTTCTCTATAGTCATAACAGTGGTTGATGCGATCATACTAATTTATTACTATAAAGAAATTATAACTTACTAGAGACGTAGTTATAAAAATTACTATTTTGATTTCTTATTTTATAATTTATATTTTAGTAGTATATATTAGGATTTCAATTCATTGTTTTAACAGCATTAGGATTTTTTATTTACTTTTAATATTACTTGATTTCTTATTTTATAATTCATGTTTTTAAGATAAATATTTTAGTTCATCTTAAACATTTAATGTAAGGTAGCATATATTTTTTTTTACAATATACAGATGATTATTACTATGTGGAGACAACTTTTTAAAAACAGGAATTTAAAAAATCATGACTACTGTAATTCCAATATTAGCAATTACTTAATACAGTAAAACCTCTCTATAGTCATAATGGTAAGATCAAAATATTTTTATTACATGAGGAGGTTATAACTTAATAAATGTGTAGTTACAAAAATTATTATTTTAACTTAACTTTCCCTAGTGCAAGTGGTATAAAGGTAAAGTATGCATTAAATTTATAATTAATTAATTGAGCATGTCAAATCCTAAGTATAGACATTGATAAAAAAGATAGATAAATATTTTATTTAATCTTAAACATTTAATATAACATAGTATATATTTTTTGTAATATACAGATAATTATTACTATGCAGATAATTATTATTATGTGGAGGCAAGTTCCTTAAGGGTCTGCTTGAGAGTTTTTTTTTCACTGGTTTTGGGAGGTTTTTAATTAGACTGGTTTTGAGGTGTTTAAAAACCCTTACTTGCCAGATTTTTAATATGCTGGTTTTGACTGGTTTAAACACCCCCACAAAACCAGTGTAGTGTATTTTTAAGGAGTTTATAAAACACCCCAAATTGAGGTGTTTTGACTGGTTTAAAACTTTTATTCCAAAAAAACCCCTTTCCACTCCCTTTGCTGCACACAAATCTGTCGCTGCTGTTCACTTCTCTCTAGCACACAAATCTCTTGCAGCACACGAAGTGAGTGAATGGTTTTAATTTGCTGCACACAAATCCCTTTCTTGCACACAACTCGTTTGAGTTTAATTATATTTGGCATCAACCTTTCCTGTCTTTCTGTTCTCTATGAATACAAGAGATAACGAGCCAAGAATTTTGGCCGCCACTTCTGCAACTGCAAGACCAGTAGCCCTCTAATAACTGTAAAAGTGGGGAGAAGATGGAACAATTATCATTAATGGTGCACTCTTCTTCTTGTTAATAAACTGGGAAATTAAAAGATTAACTTGTTGAGAGGATCTTTACATGTGCTGAGTAACATTAAAACTGTCTTGTCTTTGTTTAGATTAACTATTGAAGTGGTGGAAGTGAAAGTTAATTTATGTGGCCTGAAAGATAAATAATTCAAATAATATTTTATAATACAAGTTTCACATTCTCTCATTCCCATTAAATACATTACCATTTACAAGTATTTGCGCATGCTAATTTGTCTGTGATAGGGAGTCTGGTTAAACATGGTGTACGAGATCTGATGCAGATTTTAAGGGAGAGATTAACTCGTTTTCAATGACGCAAAAAGAGAGAAGTCAATTATATATATTAATCCAGAAACTTGAGCATACAATTGAAAAGAGTCGCACCATTTTCAACGCCTCTCAAGCAAACCACAACTTTGTAATGACACATTTTTCAAAAGATTGAGTAGCTAAAAACATGCAAGTCAAATTTATAACTTCAAAGTTAATTAAGCAAAAGAGAGAGTGTTTTAATTTTATGGGCATTTATGTAAATTTATCATTTAAAAAAACTATCAAAACCGTTAGAAAATAAACTTCCAAGCACAGGTTGGGTGTTTTAAAAACCGCTACTAAAAACTCTTCAAAACCGCTACAGTGGTTTACCCTCAAAACCGTTACGATGGTTTACCCTTATAACCGCTACCCTAAAACTCCCAAACAGACCCTAAGAAACTATAACTTATTACAATGTGTGAAGTAAGTTGAGACTAGAACTACATATAGATTATTCTTATATAGAATATCAATATAGAAAGGTTTTATTGTATTTCATAAGGGATGTTGCAAATGGTATAGAAAAAAAGTCAAACTTTATTATTTAAAATGTAAGAAACTTCAAGATTATATCGGTACAAAGAAACATTTTTTTCTCAAAGGTAATTGTGATGCAAATCTTCCTAATCTTTAACACACAATCAAGATAAACAACCACAACAATACACACAGAATTACCGTGGTTCACCTATCCAAGATTGGGTAGGCTACGTCCACGTTGAGCTCCGGAATCAGAGGAGCTCGCTGCACTAATCAATTACAATCAAGAGTTTACACCACAGATCAAAGATCACTCACTCAAGAATACAACACAATCTTTACCGTAATCCTACCTAGAGAACACAATCAGATTCCCTATTTCCTTGAGAGTAAAACCCCTCTCACTTGAATGAAAACCAAACACTCACTCACCAAGATTACACAGATTGAATGTAACAAGAGAAAAAGAAACCCTTCAGCAATTGCTCTACAATTCACGAAGAAGAAAGAAAAACGCTACAGCTCTTTCCCAATTTGTTCCTTTATATAGTGTTGACCAGATTGTTGATTTTCAGCCATTGGATCTGCAGTTAATCAACAGCCAAGATTTAATTCAACAGCTCCCAAAACGACGTCACTCCACTTATGGCCAAAACAGCACCGTTTCATGTCTTCAACTCAACAGTAATGATAGATGTTTGATAGAACTCTTAAACAAGAAGGTTAGAGAAAACAATATAATGATCAAATACCTTATGATAACATTTGGACAATTGCATAATTTCGTCTAAAAAGAACTTAACAAAAAATTAGACACATTTTGTGAACAATTTGATTCAAGTTACAAAGCCCCACCCAAACCACAAAAATCAAAGCCATTGTGACTGACCTTGAGGACAAGGTCCATTTCGAAGGGGAGGGAAATGTTAGGCAGCGAGAAGAGGATGAGCTTGGGAAGAGAAGTCCAATATGGGGAAAGGACTATAGTTAGGATAAGTGTAAGAGAGTTGAGTAAGTTCATTATTTTGATAAGAGTTCCATTTTATTATGAAAGTACTTGGTTATCAGGCTTCAAATAATAAGCCTAAAACATTACTGAGATATGAATAAGCAAACTCTCTTCTTCCACAAATAATTTCACAAATCTAATATTATCGTATTAATAATAAAGAGTAAACGCCTTTTTCCCACCCAAGGTTTGCATTATGACACTTTTCCACCAAAAAAGTTTCAAAAATACTATTTTTCCACCCAAAATTAATATTCCATTACTACCTAAAACCAATTTTATTAATCTAGAAATTTCCCCAGTACTTGCTTTGCACGCCTGAGCTCTGTCGAATGGAGTAATTTTGGGAAAAGAAACAATCTACCATAAGTTGGTAGAGAAAACATAATCTGCAGAATTGGAAAAACACAAATCCTGCAGAACAATACACATTCATCTGCTCTCTTGTAGGACGTGGTTCCAATTCCTCCTCATCATACGTCACTTCCAGTTGATTTCCATTTGTGTCCTCCTCATCATGTTCCTAGTAATAATCATCTATAGCTGTTTCCACGGAATCTCGACTAGTGATTGCAGTTTTTTAATGGCAGTTTCCTTCATAAAAAGTCCCTGCAAATGCTTTAGATTCCCCACGTCGTATGACAATTCTTCATTTCGAGCAACCATCAAGATCAAATTACATCTAGAGACGTCAAATCACAAAACTGCTTGGAAAATCTCAAGCTTTTTGAGATCCATCAATTTCAGCTCACAAACCCCGTTTAAATTACCTCTTTCAGACTCTACACAATCCAGCTGTGATGATTTCGGTTAACACTATTGAAGTAAAGATGATCTCTCATTAACTTAACATCTGATAATCAAGATCAACATTTTACAAATGTATAATGTATATATAGACAACTGGTTTGAGTAAACCAAGCATTAAAAACCTACTTTTTGTTATTCTTCTAATCTTCATCAAAACATCTTCAAGATTCATCCCTCTTGAACCAGTTCAACAATCCAAACGATCAAAACCGTTCAACTTCAGAATTTTGATGATTTTGAGGGAAATAATGGAGCTTTTGCTCAATAACTATATGTGAAATAAAGAGAATAATTATTTACTGCATTGAATCCATATCAGGAGAGAGCAAATAATCCTAAATCTTATGTCAAAGAGAACTTCTTTTGTTTTTCTCCGAGTTCAATACTTACAGACATATCAGCTCCAGCTCCCTTCTAACCGGACCCCTTAAAGTTATCAGTCTTCTCCCAAATATTCTGCTGATTCAGACTCCACCGTCAGTTTGTATTTGTTACAGCAAACAAAACTCACTGAAAATATCTCCATTCGTATAGTTCAAAAATTACTTGNGAGCTTTTGCTCAATAACTATATGTGAAATAAAGAGAATAATTATTTACTGCATTGAATCCATATCAGGAGAGAGCAAATAATCCTAAATCTTATGTCAAAGAGAACTTCTTTTGTTTTTCTCCGAGTTCAATACTTACAGACATATCAGCTCCAGCTCCCTTCTAACCGGACCCCTTAAAGTTATCAGTCTTCTCCCAAATATTCTGCTGATTCAGACTCCACCATCAGTTTGTATTTGTTACAGCAAACAAAACTCACTGAAAATATCTCCATTCGTATAGTTCAAAAATTACTTGGTTAGAGCCCATTAATTTTTGAACTATAATACTAAATCTTATATCAAAGAGAACTTCTTTTGTTTTTCTCTGAGTTCAATACTTAACAGACATATCAGCTCCAGCTCCCTTCTAACCCCCTTAAAGTTATCAATCTCATTCTGCTCATTCAAACTCCTCCATCAGTTTGCCCTTGTTACAAAACTCACTGAAAATATCTCAATTCGTATACTTCAAAAGTTACTTGGCTAGAAACCAGTAAGGAGTTAAAGAATGTGAAACTTTTCAATACAAAAAATAAAAGGCTCCACAAAAATAAAATTATGCCTAAATTCTGTAAAAGCAATATGTTTTAGGCCTGAATCCTGTCAAAGCAATGTGTATTACTGGCAACATCATTCAAAACATTACCTCAAGATTCCATTCAAAATCAAATACCATTGATTTCACCATGATCTACAGTGCTTTATGAACTTGCCACCAGTACTTTGGTTGAGTAATTCCAGTTTATTACCAATAATCATTGCACGAGCATTTTCTATCTTTAAAATGGTGAAAACGGTTTGAATCTCTCACAACAATCTCCTTTTGAAGAAGATCTGATGCTAACTTCATGAAGTTATGGCAGTCAACACAAATTCTGATATTCTTCATAATTTTTATTACACTAGCTTCACAGTGCATACTTTCTTGATTCATTACAGCGAACACCAAAGCCAACTTCTCGCTATGATGGTATAGTTGCACCTCTTTGTGCTCCTCTTCAATGTCATGCAAGGCCAAGCTCGTCTCTGGCACATAACCTATCTCCTTCAACCGCGCAATCAGTTCACTAAGCTTTGTACATATAGCCTTTCTTTGTGGATGACGTTTGCCTCCAGAGGCAAATTCATGGAATTGATTCTTAATTTCAATCCAACTTAAACCAGGTTCCTTACGCACTTTACACCCCTCCATTTCTTTCCTAATTAGTCCTGCTTTACTGAAACTGCCACTTGAGCAATATGCATTTGACAATTGTACATAACCTAATGAATCTCCAGGCACTAATTCCTTCAGTTTAGATGCTGCTAACTCAGCTAAATGTGTCACACCATGCTTTCTACATGAACCCAGCAATGCACTCCAAACAACTGAATCAGGCTCCATTGGCATTTCATTTATAAGCTTCTCAGCCTCAAGAATTCGCCCACCTCGCCCAAGAATATCAACCATGCAGGCATAATGATCTAGTTGAGGAGTGATTCCATAATTATCGCACATGGAGTGAAAGATTTTATTTCCTTCTTCCACCAATCCAGCATGGCTGCAAGCTGAAAGTAAAGCAACAAAAGTTGCAGAATCTGGTTGGACATTCATTGTCGAAAAGAGTTGCAAGGCTTCTTTAGCTTGCCCATGCAAGGCATAAGCCTTGAGCATAGAATTCCAAGAAACCAAATCTCGAAACCCCATTTCCTTGAAAACTTGCTTGGATAAGACAATGGATCCACACCTTGCATAGGCATGGATTAAAGCATTTGCAAGTACAATATGTCCCTCAAAGCCAGCCTTTACTACTTGTGAATGAACTGTCGAGGCATGTCGTTCTGTCATAAGACCTGCACAAGCCTTTAGTGCAATTGAGAAAGTACACCAGTCTGGAGTCAAGCCCTCTCGACGCAGCTGACGAAAGAGGAATAGAGCTTCTTCCGGTTCACATTCTGCTAACGCTGTTATAATTCCTGTCCATGAAACAATATCCCAACAACATCTCCTCTCCAAGAAAAGCCTGTAACATTCAGAAACATCTCCACCAAGATCTGAGTAAGCTTTCACTAGAGCCGTTGCCACTTCAATTTCTGAGATAAACCCAGTTTTGACACTCAAGCAGTGCAATTGAAAACAAAACTTTAGACCCGAGTGAACATCCATATCATAACTTCCACACAAGGACGTCAAAACACTAAGAATCGTGGCACGATCAAATCCAATACCCTCACGCCGCATATTAAAAAAAAGATTGATAGCTTGCGCTCCAGATTTACAGTACTGAAACCCTGCAATCATCGAATTCCAAGATATCACATTCCTAAACTCCATATTCTCAAACACCTTCCAAGCCTCCTTTATACTACCACCACAACCACAATTCTTACTATACATATTTACAAGAGCATTCGCCACGAACACATAAGCATCAAAACACATCTTCAACACAAGCGCATGTACTTGCTTGCCACACACGTAATCACATGAACTAAGCACACTCGCGAACGTGAAGTCATTTGGACGGAAGTGTAATAACATGCCAGAAAACATACTGAAAGACTTAGTGTGATGCCCATGTTGAGCATAGCCCGAAATTAGTGCAGTCCAAGAAACAAGGTTTCTTTTAAGCATTTCATCGAACAGTTGCTGCGCATTGTCTAAGAGCCCAAATTTACAGTACATGTTGATTAAATGATTGGTGACGAAGAGGTCAAATGGGTGGCTACCGTAATGGGAAAGCATGTGTTGGTGTAAATGCTGGCCTTGTTTGAGGCTGCCGTGAAGAGCACACGCGTGGAAGAGAGTGGCGTAAGTTTGCTGAGAGTGAAGAGACGGCGGCGCATTGTAGAAAAGTGAGAGAGCTTCCGTGAGGTGGCCAGGCGTGGAGAGTACGCGAACCTTATCGAGAATGTTGTTGGCTTCTGGTGTTAGAGTGAAGACAGGGAGAAAATTGGTGTGACTAAAGTTTCTGATGGAGATGAAGCACGCGCGGATAGGTAGACGTGACATCACGTAATGGTTGAGGAAAAGCTGTTATATTTATGTTAAGGAACATGCAGAGTTCCTTAAAGGAAATGAGAGGGTCAACAAATCCGTATGATGAAAACTATGCAAGTTAGCCATTTCATCGATAACATTTTGTCATACATAAGTCGAAATCAAAGTACAAAGGTTATTGTCACATTTTTAATTTTCTTTACTTTAATTAATTAGATTTATGGTTTTTGATTTGTTTAGGGTTAATATTGTCATGTGTGTTTCTCAAGTCGCTAGAGTCATGTCCAATAACTTGGGAGCTGTACATTGATTTTATCAGGCTTTGGATGTCAAGATCCAAATCAAGGTAGCTTCTTGTTACATAACCAATTTGCCATCCAAGGAAATCTCTATTTTCAACGACAAACATCTTGTCGCTTATGTACTCCATTTTGTGTGACGTTAAATCCCAATCTTGTTAGCGGTGCCACCATTTAAGTTGAGAAGTGATAGTAACCAAATTAGTTGTCTCCTCCATGTGACGAGACAAAAATCAAGTTCAAAATTCTGGTTCTCAATAAGATATCAATATTGAGGCAGAATGTATCAATTTAAAATTCTTTGTGATTTTAGATTTTTCTAATGCAATTGGTGAATATGGAAAATGCTATAGCAATCAATTAATCACAAACAAGCAAATATAGAATAAAGTAACAAGTTTGAAGGATAAGAAAAGCAAATACGGTTCGGCCCAAATCACCCTCTAAGCTCTCTTTCCTCTGACTCTTGCTTGTCAAACCACAACCAACCCTTCTTTCACTTTACAAATAGCTCCTAAGGTACTATTAAACCTTTACCCTCTCCATGAATCACTTTCTCTCACTAGAAAAGCCTAGAAAATCAAGAGTGAAACTCACTCTTTTACAATTCAAAAAATTGATTAATGGAATAGTAAAATGACTCTCTCATAGAGTAGATACACAAGTGTTTTCACTGAATACAACCCAATCTATAAGAAATCAAAATGAGTGTGTAGCAAGGGCTAAAGTTAAAATAAGACAATGCAAGTGATAGCTCAAGAAACTTTGATTGAATGTTTTTGCTTTGGTTAATATGAAAACTCAGAGTGTGCAAAAGTGCTTCAGAATTGACTAAGCTAGGTTTATATATGGTAGTGCAAAGATATAGCTTTTATGCCCAAAACAAGAGTTTGAAAAACAAAGAAATCGATTAACCACCTCGAATTCAATCAATTGGATTTGAGGTGGCGCCTACGTAGCGTCTACATGGCACGAACCTATCCATTGAATTGAATTTGATTGATTGGATTAGTTGAGCCCCCAAAACGTATCTTCTACCCAATCAGAATACCAATCGGTCAAGCGAATGGGGTGAAAATGTAAGTTTTTAAAGTTTACAAAATAGTTTACCCCCTAAAGCTTTAGAATATGATAGTTTAGCCCAATATTTAAAACCCTGAATTCGGATGCCAATCTGGTTGACCGGATGGGTTAAACTGTGAAGTGTGAAATGTTGGTAAATTTATAACCCCATAAGTTTGGAAATGACATTTGGGCCCAAAAACAAGTTTTTGAAAGCTTTCACATGCACAATACTTTTCTAACCAAGATTCACGCTTAATAAAATAAAAGTTGATTACAAGGAAAACTATCTAGACTTAGCTTTCTTGAATTCTTTAAATCTCTTCAGCCAAGCTTTATTTTTTCTCGGTTTAATATTACTTTAAATGTATGAGGAGATTCCATCCTGTCTTGATCTACACTTAAGCACGTCATTAGCATTAATACTTATAGACATATTAATTTGTTATCATCAAAATAAGAGCACAATGACTCATTGTGTAACACCCCGGCCCACTGCTAGCCTAATACAGTCAAGATATTGTTCGCTTTGGTAACCTGAATGGTCCGACTCCGAAGTCCAACCCCTCACGGTTTTTGTTTTTAGGCCCAAAAATCCTTACTCAAGCCCAAAACGCATCTTGACTATTGGGGGGTTCCCTTGATATTTAACTAGCTCAAGCCCCTCCTTCCCAAGCGATGTGGGATGTCTCAATCTCCCCCCCTCAGGATCCAGCGTCCTCGCTGCGATCCCTCTTAGGCCAGCTGAAATCTGTTGACTATCCACACACATTCGAGTGAGATTGGCTCTAATACCAATTGTAACACCCCGACCCACTGCCGACCCAACATAGTTAAGATATTGTCCGCTTTGACAGTTTGGATGGTCCAACTCCGAAGCCCAGCCCCTCACGGTTTTTGGTTTCAGGCCCAAAAATCCTTACTCAAGCCCAAAACGCGTCTTGACTATTGGGGGGTTCCCTTGATATTTAACTAGCTCAAGCCCCTCCTTCCCAAGCGATGTGGGATGTCTCAATCTCCCCCCCTCAGGATCCAGCGTCCTCGCTACAATCCCTCTTAGGCCAGCCGAAATCTGTTGACTATCCACACACATTCGAGTGGGATTGGCTCTAATACCAATTGTAACACCCCGACCCACTGCCGACCCAACATAGTCAAGATATTGTCCGCTTTGGCAGCTTGGGTGGTCCGACTCCGAAGCCCAACCCCTCACGGTTTTGTTTTCAGGCCCAAAAACTCTTGTTCAAACCCAAAACACGTCTTGATTATTGGGGGGTTCCCCTGGTATTTAACTAACTCAGGCCCCTCTTTCCCAAGCGATGTGGGATGTCTCACATTGAGTCAACAGATGATATACCTAATGAATATGTTGTGGCTTATCATGATGATAATGACGGTTGTGTTTTGTTATGTCATGGGTTTGATTATTGGGATGACGAGTTATGGTCAAATGATATTAGAAGCATTCCAAAACGATATAAAAATGTTCGAGTCTCCACAAAATGAAACATCCAAAAAGATTCATATATACTTTTGCAATATAAACTTTAGATTTCTACCCAGAAATACATGATGCAAATTCAAAGTTGATTCTTCCAACTAAGGTATCATTTCCAAAGGTCAAATATATATACAAAGGAAAAGTGCAAGATATATTGAAGCTCCATGCAATCAATAACAAGTATCAGTTTAAGACCTTTAAAGCCACCAGGAGTGAGAGACATGTAAATGGCAGCTCCGTGCAATTAAATTGTCGGAGTCTAATTGTTTGAGGTGAGAAGTATTGACATTAGCTAATGCAAAACGTAGAGGCTAGAGAATTTGCTTATACTGAGGTTAGGGGTTCATTTGAAAAGTCTTGCGTTTCTACCTATGTTTTGTCAACAATTAGAAGTCCAAGACATATGTTGCAAAACATTTCAAGTGCTTTTTCATAGCATTGGGTGCTTCCATTTCAAGTTCATTCACTACATCATGCAGCTCAAGCTCTAGAGAGGCCATATCATGATCGGATACATGTGAAACAATACTTCTAGGTTTAGGTGGAGCACAAAGGTGTTGTTCTTCATAAAAATTGTCACCTTACCTAGACAGCCTTGTAACAATGAATTCCAACCGAGGAACACAAAGGCTTTGCCCTGACAACATGTAATTATCTCATATATCCAAGTCTACATGAATAAATTAGATGATAGACTGTAGTGTAGTGATTAAAAATGAATGACAAAGTAAGTTAATAAAAGAACAAAGGACATTTGCCTAAATTATACTTCTCCTTGTTTTTTATTATTTGCTTTTTTCTTAGGCTCATCCAAAATACTAGTAAAACACCAATGCAACTATAAATAAAATGGGCAAATATAACGGCATAAGACATTCTCCAACACCAATATCAAAGATAGCTTAACTGCATCATCTGTAGGAAATAATCCATCCTTGTCTCTAAATAACTCAATCTGTATTAAAATATATATCTCCTAGTTTATGTATCCCTTCCTTTTCTGTCTTCTAATCACCTTGCTCTGGCTTGTTCTCTTTTGTATAGTCATAGCACTTTTCTTCTCGATAGTTTCAAAACATAGTCCACAGACTAACCCAAACTCATAATTTCCAAATCCAAGTTTCTCACCATCAACCTCCATTGGCCAAGTATCATGAACATTTAGTTCTGTTGAAACTTCATATCTAAAAGTTTCCTAAAACACGTGTTTCTATATTTTTCATAATGTACAGTGTATAGCCTTATAACATATAGAAATGCATTCTTATAACATATTTGGATGTAAAATTCTACGAGCAAGAGCCAACAATCTAAGCCTTTTATATTTTCATAATGTACAGTGTATAGCCTCGATACTTCATTACTACTGCACAATTACAGAGTAGTTAAGGAAAATACCTTTGCAAGTAAGAAACCTTACAAGTTGCAATATAAACTGATTAAGATTTTATGATAACATCGTAATTGAAAAGTACATGCCCTGAGGCAGAAAGCTTAAGCACTCACAGTCACAGGTACTATGAATTTTAAAGCTCTCAACACATCCATTCCCATGCTCCAACTTTTTTGGTATTACTTCTTTGACTTTGATCTAAATATGTTCTCCTTGTAGTATTTGAGTTCTGTGATGCTTTCTCTTATATCATCCAAAGCTCTATGTTTATTCTCTTTTGATGGAGCTTTCCTGTTTTCTGTACAAGTAATGAACTTTGTTTAGTATGTATATGAATTAGTATGCTCCAGAATTAAAGCACTTCAGTATCTCATGTGTTGCATTAAAGAATAAGTAAGCAAGCATAAAAACAATACAAAACGAGCATGATAGATTTTACACACAGATCCAATATTATCAGAAATTATGGACAAAAACCTCAGCCACTAGGGATCCATCAGTGATCCATGTAATTAAAATTTTAGGATGCATTTGTTTCCCTATCTTATTCTTATTCCAAATCAAAATGCATATTTGTTTCTCTATTCTCAAAATCCTATCCTAAATTATTCAACTATTTTTAATTTTCAAATCCAACCTCGTAATAACCACTCAACTCTACCTAACAATAATATTTCAAAAATACTATGCCAAATAAGTAAACAAACAAACATATTTTTTCAAAATTATGTATACAACTATTAAAAATTGTTTTATTCTCTTTCTTTAGTTTTCCCTTTCATTTTCTCGGAAAAGTTCTCTCTCAATTTTCATAGCTTCATCTCTCCTATTTCTTCCATGATCATAAAAAGAGCACAGTTCGCTTCAAGTGTTAATTCCAACAGATTTGATACTACTGTGAAGGTGTTTCCATGATTTCTCATAACATTTGGTTTCTGTATTATTATCTAATCTTTTAAAGACTTAGATCGTCCACCAAACAATTGACAATTATTTTCAATCATTCTTTCATTGCACTAGCTCCTTTTCCCTCTATACATGACTACACTAAGTTTATTTTAATTGACTGAAGAAATCACTTTTTCATAAGCTTAAACTACCCTTCAAAATGGGTATATCATCTTTGTTAAATGATTTGACAAACGAAGGAAAAATTCCAGTCATCAGGCAAGGGTGTAATAACAGATACACCAGGAAGAAACAGAGGTGTATATAAAGTTTAGCAAATAGATACATAGCACCAGCAACTGCAAATTTTTTAATGATTAACAGAAAACAATGACTACTACAAAGACAATTTAGCCCTCAAAAATACAAAATTCCTTTTTGGATTACACAACTTGATCATTAAGTCAATTAATCCAAAATTAAATCTCTACACTTCCCAATTCTCTCAATTCCATTTTAAATTAATCAAACACTTATGTTAAATTTCCTATTAAATAAAGATCCCCAACTTATAAGAATAGACAGTGTTTCTCCTTTGATAGCTTCATCTGCTTCTTTTTTCTTAATCTTTCTCTTCAATGGACACTCAAAATTCCAGAAAATAAGGCTTTAGATAGATAAGTTATTTGGAGCTCCATTCTGAGCTAATGGAAAATCATTGAGATGGGATTTTAGACTTTGTGTTTGAGATGAAAGTTTAATGTATTCTATTTACACATTATTGAGTGGTATAAATCAGTTGTCTCTATTATTAGTGAAACAATCTTAACTTGCCGGTTATAATTTGTTGACATTATTGAGTGCAATTGGATGGCTAATCCAGAGGGGTTAATTTCCAACACAATTATAGTGAATTCAAACCTGGTGTAGCTCTTACAACATCTATATAGTGATTAAACTCAACAACTAGGCAATGCAGGGGCTACGTANTATTCTTATTCCAAATCAAAATGCATATTTGTTTCTCTATTCTCAAAATCCTATCCTAAATTATTCAACTATTTTTAATTTTCAAATCCAACCTCGTAATAACCACTTAACTCTACCTAACAATAATATTTCAAAAATACTATGTCAAATAACTAAACAAACAAACATATTTTTTCAAAATTATGTATACGACTATTAAAAATTGTTTTATTCTCTTTCTTTAGTTTTCCCTTTCATTTTCTCGGAAAAGTTCTCTCTCAATTTTCATCGCTTCATCTCTCCTATTTCTTCCATGATCATAAAAAGAGCACAGTTCCCTTCAAGTGTTAATTCCAACAGATTTGATACTACTGTGAAGGTGTTTCCATGATTTCTCATAACATTTGGTTTCTGTATTATTATCTAATCTTTTAAAGACTTAGATCGTCCACCAAACAATTGACAATTATTTTCAATCATTCTTTCATTGCACTAGCTCCTTTTCCCTCTATACATGACTACACTAAGTTTATTTTAATTGACTGAAGAAATCACTTTTTCATAAGCTTAAACTACCCTTCAAAATGGGTATATCATCTTTGTTAAATGATTTGACAAACGAAGGAAAAATTCCAGTCATCAGGCAAGGGTGTAATAACAGATACACCAGGAAGAAACAGAGGTGTATATAAAGTTTAGCAAATAGATACATAGCACCAGCAACTGCAAATTTTTTAATGATTAACAGAAAACAATGACTACTACAAAGACAATTTAGCCCTCAAAAATACAAAATTCCTTTTTGGATTACACAACTTGATCATTAAGTCAATTAATCCAAAATTAAATCTCTACACTTCCCAATTCTCTCAATTCCATTTTAAATTAATCAAACACTTATGTTAAATTTCCTATTAAATAAAGATCCCCAACTTATAAGAATAGACAGTGTTTCTCCTTTGATAGCTTCATCTGCTTCTTTTTTCTTAATCTTTCTCTTCAATGGACACTCAAAATTCCAGAAAATAAGGCTTTAGATAGATAAGTTATTTGGAGCTCCATTCTGAGCTAATGGAAAATCATTGAGATGGGATTTTAGACTTTGTGTTTGAGATGAAAGTTTAATGTATTCTATTTACACATTATTGAGTGGTATAAATCAGTTGTCTCTATTATTAGTGAAACAATCTTAACTTGTCGGTTATAATTTGTTGCTGGATGGCTAATCCAGAGGGGTTAATTTCCAACACAATTATAGTGAATTCAAACCTGGTGTAGCTCTTACAACATCTATATAGTGATTAAACTCAACAACTAGGCAATGCAGGGGCTACCTAAGCATAAATAGCAGAATAACAACTTGACTTATCTAGTAGACTTTTACTCTCTTCAATAAGCACAGGAATATTGACTGAGAATTTAAGAAGGTAAGAGAAACATCAATTTTTTTTTTTAACCCACTCATGGGTAGCCCAGCGGTAAGGGCAAACCAAGAGGATTGTAAATGGGTAAAACCCACAATCCTAAGTTCGATTCCCAGCTGGACGGAAAGGTAGTACCTTTGCCCATAATTTAAGGGCCATGGTGGTGGTTTGTGATGGGATAGCTCCTCCTAAGGATTAGTCAAGGTGCGCGTAAGCAGACCCGAACATCTCAATTATTAAAAAATAAATAAATAAATAAACATCAATTTTTAGTGAAACAATCTTAACTTGCCGGTTATAATTTGTTGACATTATTGAGTGCAATTGGATGGCTAATCCAGAGGGGTTAATTTCCAACACAATTATAGTGACTTCAAACCTGGTGTAGCTCTTTCAACATCTTATAATGATTAAACTCAACAACTAGGCAATGTAGGGGCTACCTAAGCATAAATAGCAGAATAGCAACTTGACTTATCTAGTAGACTTCTACTTTCTTCAGTAAGCACAGGAATATTGACTGAGAATTTAAAAAGGTAAGAGAAAAACATTAATTTTTAATTCATCACACTTAACAAAATCACAGAATTTCAGAATCAATATGGTATTTTTAGATAATTACCTTTAGGATACCAGCGAACACATAGAGCCTTGACACTGCTAACATCGACGAGTACATGAGAGAAGAGATTAGCCAAATCAGGCATGTATTTCTGCAAAGCTGAAGCTGGTTAGGAGGATAAACAATGCGGCTCAAATGATGGAAGGTCATTAAGACAACAGAAAACTACCAAGGGATAATCAATAAGAGGTAGTGAGCCAAATTTAGGTAGGATCTTAATTCCATAAGGCTTAACACACCTTGTTCAACTTTTAAGATTATAAATTAATTACAATAAGAAAACCATTATACTCCATTTATCCTGCCCCCCTATTATCTAATTATCAACTTCCCTTTTCTCCTTTTTTGTATTACTTCAGCTCTATCTTTTGTACATACTCTACCTATCTTCTATACATAGGCATATTTACAAACTGTACTCTTAGCATAAGATGACAAGGATTCTCAAAGCCATGAGAATGAGAGGCCATAATCACTAACCGTAAACTAAATCAACCAAAAGACCTAATAACTCAACAAAATTACAAAATAGACTCTTCAAGTGTGGGAAACACAAAAAATATAGTTTTGGCTTTCTCTATATAGGGATGGCAAATGGGTGGGCCCAGGTGGATTGAGTTCCAACCCAATTCAGCCCATAAAAAAGTGACCCCAACCCATTTAGGAAGTCAGATTATATGGGTTTGCTGGGGTAACATGATATTCATTACATTTTAAAAAGAAAAAAAAATTAAAATTTGTGGGTACTTGAGTCAAATTGGACATAGCTATTTTTCTTATCATCTATAAAAGATATTAAATAAAATTATAAACAGATTAACATTATTTAAATTAATTAACAACAATTTTTAAATAAAAGAGACAATCACCGGATCACTATCATCCACCTTTGACAAAACACATTTGTTGATACCATCCACACTGAAATGATCAATAGTTGGCTAATACACACAACCATATACACACCATCAGAAAAGATACGGTTTTTCACAACGGGAAGCAGTCCAAGCTTTGGGCGACCAAAAGTTTGACCGCTTTCGACAGCCAAATGTTGTGTTGTTTTCTGACAATAGACATACAGTTGCGTAAATCAGGAGCCATTGAACATTTCTATGTAAGCACTATTACCGGGAACACTTTTGCGATAGTGGCCAAATGTGGTTCAATGAAGGCCTATCACTTTTTTAATAAATAATTATCAGATCTTTTATAGAAGAAAAAAATTGAATATAAGTTACCGCAGAAATGAATTACCCAAACCCACCATGAAACCAATATCATTCTTTATAGCTTGGGAAATCACCCAACAAATTTGACTTCGGTTGGGCAAGAAACCTACCCAATAGATTATTCTACAATCTCCATTCTGTACATATAAAGGTCCATTACTCCTAAATTAACACTCTGAACTTGTACTGGTTTAACCGTAAGCTCACAATGACTAAATCTTCAAAAACATGTAAATGCTAAATAAACTGAGAGACATATGAGAAGCCCACAAAATTAAATACAGAAAAAAAAATTACTTACGTAAAAAATGCAACAAAATTGCTTTGGTTTCCCATGGCTGAGTCAACAATGCATACAAAAAATAGTATACAACACAACTGATTCTAGTAAAAAACAATTACAGCTCTACTTGATTAAATGATTCATAAAAGTCTGATAACGTCAATAATTCTTTAAAAAATAAAAAGGATATGTAGGAGTTTTGTTGCATTACCTTTAAAAATAGAAAGTCCACATAAACTGAATTCCCTGCAAGAAGAGGTGTGTATGTACCAACATTTCTCGTAACAAATTCTATTACCTGCAGTATTGAAGCTTGTATCAAATGTATCTTAAACTAACACAGAAATGAAGAATCAACAAGGACATCTGATTGAAATAGCATAATGCCTAAATAAATATAGAAATGCAAACTCATAATATTCCACCAGTAATGCCTCTCACATTCCATCTAATGAACTTATTGATGGAACATCATTAACCTTATCAAGCTTTATCAGCTCCTTTTTTATTGTAATTTAGATCTGAAATTAAATTATTATACTCTCAGACTCCTTTTGTAACTTTTTTATTATTCTTATAACTCTTTTTTAGCAAAGGGTGCAAAGATAAATTCATCCTCTTTAAATGATTCTCAAATTGCCTCCAAAACTCCCCGCCAAAAGAAACATTTTGCAACCCATGACAATTGCATCCTTTCTCCAAATCCAAATTTCTCTGTACTTGTGGAATTATGAAGCTTTTTTTTTTTTTTTAATACTGAATAATTTGTTGAGCATCTCTATTTGTGATTAATGTTAGATTATTTATTAAATCGAAATGAAAAGCACTTATTACTAATTACAGTCTACCAATTCAAACAATCAATCATATTGTGGCTCAACTAAACAATCATATAAGGTTCATCACCAACTGTCAAAGTGTGTTGTTACTAAAAGAAGAAAGGAATCAACACGAAATTTGCCACATGCCACTCAGTTTAAGTTAAAAGAAAAATATAGTAGACAAAACAGAAAAACGTTCCCAGGAAAAACTTTCCATCTAGGATATTCAACTTTCAAAGTACCCTCTAATGATTTTCAACTATAATCCATTGACACAGCGAGCTTCTTATCTCTTCCTGTGCTGCTCCTTTGTTTTGCTTCTTTGGTTCAACTTAAATTTGACAGTTGGTTCTCAAATAAAGCTCTTCCATAAGACATCTGGCTTTGGAGATAAAAGACCGGCCTCCAAGTGGTGGGATGGGGGTAATACATTGCATTGTTTCCGGATAATATATTCAGTTATTTGGAGCAAAAGATATATATGGGCCACCTCAGTAATATAACAAAAAAATGAATCCAAAAATGACAATGGTAAAGTTAATTTTGTATTTATAAGATTAACAGTGGGTTCGGTATCATTTCCTAAAAACAACACTTTTAAAATGATACTGACAAAACACATTCAGTGGATGTTTTTAAAATAACAAACAAAAATGAGCTTTTTAAATCTAATTATTAAAAATATATTTTTTATATAATCATGAAATACTTTAATAAAAATCTTAATTGTTTTAGAAATTAAATTAAAATTATTTACCAAAAACTTAGTTAAAGAAAACAACTCAAAAGTGCTTTTGGTTTTGACAAATGAATCTTGAAATTAAAAACAACAATAAAAAATTATTTTTCTTGTTTGGCTCCCTTTTAGTTACGTTGGTGAAAACAAGATTTTTTATTCATTTGAAAAGAGTGTAAACAATAAATAAAAAGTATTTCAAATTTTACAAGGCAAAAGACAAAATTACAGTAAACAAAAACATAAAGAAACAGATCCAAGGCTAAGAAAAAATTTTAAGCTTCTAACAAACTAAAAATAATGGCTCCGTTTGGTACACTTTTTTTAATAATATTTTATTCTAAAAAGGATATGATGGGATTTAATCAAATAAGATAGGATTCTGAAAATGTGTATAGTACAATTTTTTAAAACATTTTTTAAAAATATTTAGTTCATTTTTTAACCCCTTACATTTGTTAATTTAGCTAAACACCCCCTACAATAAAAGTTTATAAATTAACAAAAATACCCTCACCCACCCAACTAATTGTCGGCAGCCATTGATAGGAATCCACTCCAATAACTCAACAATTGGGTTGGGTCATGGGTCTTTCATAGGCTTGGGTAGAACTCTCCTTAGAAAACCAGCTTGCCAAGGGAGGGTGCCCAAGCCTTTATAACCTGCATGCCCACCTTTTTCCTTCCAATATGGGATCCTAACATTCCACCACGCTTCCGCAACCGATGTCCACAGCAGCCTCTTTACCCCTGTCGGTCTCTTTACCTCTTGGGTGACTACGCGGATCCCCTTTCCCTCGAGCCTCCATGCCCTTTCTAGGGGTAGCAGCCCGAGCCCAAGGTCAACTTGCCACAGGTCAACCTACCACGTCGGCGAAATCCTGTGGGCGCAGGATCATGCTCTGATACCAATTAATAAGAACCCATCCCAATAACTTAAACAATTGGGCAGAGCCATGGGCTTGGGTAAAACTCTTCTTGGAGAACCAGCTTGCCAAGGGAGGGTGCTCAAGCCCTTATAACCCACATGCCCATCCCTTTTCCTTCCAATGTGGGATCCTAACAGCCAGCCACCACCGCCGAACGGAAGTTACTAGAATGGCATGCAACCGATTGGATTTGGCCGATCGTGCGCCGATTTGACCGTTTCCGACCAGATCCACCATAGATCTGACCCGAAACGACCAGATCGACACATGAGCATGACCGACCAAATCCAACAGATTGTGCGTTGTTCTGGCGAGCAACTATTGCTCGGTTGGGTGGGGGAGTCTTTGTTAGTTTATAAACTTTTATTGAAAAAGATAATTGTTAAATGTTTTGGGTTGAATAGAATAGGATTGAATTTTGAACAACATAAAAACAAACATGTTTTTCATTTTTTAGGATAAAATAATAGAATAGAATAGGGTTGAAAAAATTAAACAAACTAGGGGAATGTACTTTGAAGTAAGAAATAAGATATGATAAGGAAATAGTGTAAAAACTCATTCCCCCCTTTGTTTAACTTTTCAAACTCTATTCTATTCTACTATCCTATCCTAAAAAATGAAAAATGGGTTTGTTTTATTATTGACTATTCAATTCAAAATCCAATCATATTTTATTCAACTCAAAACATTTAACAATTATCTTTCTCAATAAAGTTTATAAATTAACAAGAACACCCCCACTCACCCAAGCAACAGTCGCTTGCCAACAACCACCACCAGTCGCCGCCGCCGCCGCTGGAACGACTCACGATCGGTTGAATTTAATCGATCGCGCGCCGATCTGTCTGTTTTCAGCCAAAAATTTGGCCATCAACAACGGTCATATCTTCACTATCGTTCGGTCATAGATCTGGCCGTTTTCGACCAGATCCATGGTGGATCAGGTTGAAATGGCTAATTCGGTACACAACCAGCCAGATCCAACTAGTCGTGCACCATTCCAACGACTTTTAGCCACTGTTCGACGATGGTGGCTGCCTGCCGACAATTAGTTGAATGGGTGAGAGTGTTTTTGTTAATTTATAAACTTTTATTGTTTAGGGGGAATGTTTAGCTAAATTAACAAATTTAAAGGGTTAAAAAATAATCTAAATATTTTCAAAAAATGTTTTCCAAAAATTTACTAAACAAATTCTCAAAATCTTATCATATCTTATTCATAATAGAATATTATTCAAAAAAAAGTGTACCAAACGAGCCCCATGATAATGTGTATTCTATTTCATACAAAAAAAAAAAAATTAAATATAAATATTTAAAAAAAAAATTAGAACAGAAATTTTTTTTTCATGTTTTGCTCAGCATGGCACAAACAGTGTTCGTGCTTGGGCCACCCCAGGCAAAATAGCTCAGTTAGGCCTAACTTTTTACTACAGGGCTACACTACATGTCTGGAAGCTATTCAAGTGTAATAATCATTCTTTTAAATATGTCCTTTTTGCACATATTACACAATTCATGACAGTCTAGACCACCATGATAGAGAGATGGCTTATTTTTATAACAAATACTTAGTTCATTGTTAAAAATCTTTACAATGTTAATACATAAATTTCCATTGCCTATCAAGAAAATACAACGTTATCAGAAGATATTAATGAGTAAAAATCAGAAAAAACATCTTCGTGGTTATAACTAGAATTCAAAAAACAAAGTTGGCTAATTTGTCTTTATGTTGATCATTATTGGCTTCAAATGGGGAGAGTAAATGGACATATAGCCCTAGTCAAGGAAAGGACTTAACTGCCATTTATTCTCTTTAAATCGTCATGGCTAGTAGTTCAAAATTGAAAAACAAGCTTCTTTCTTTCCCCCGACATTTGTTCGTTCATCTAAAGTCAAATTATGTTTAAATTTTTTATTTAGTACCATTAGTCAAGCTAAGGACAAGAGTAAACATTATATTTAAGCTAGTTCAAATTCATGGTTTCATCAATAAAGTTTATTTTCTTCTGGATAAGTGAAAACCTTTAAAATGTCCATATTAGTTTATGGAAAGCAAATTTGATATGGAACACAAAAATCCTACCTTTTAGGTCTTTAAAGAGACAGCAATTTTCTCTTAAATACAGCAAACTTTCATTTTGAATAATAAAGCTCCAATAACACAAAACTTTACAAATTAACTTCTGAAATAAAAAAATAAAAAAATAAAAAATTTAAATTCTGTTATTATAGTCATTCATGTCGGTTCATGGAAAATTAAGTTGAAGAACTAGCCAGTTAATATTTGAAAATTTCTAATTCTAGTCACACATCTTTGTAATGTCTGATAAAATTGAAACCACACTAACAACTAACAACAAAGGTGTCAAATAGATTAACTGCAACATATAAGTGATACATGCCAAGGTTTTTCCAAAGTAATACTAGTTGAACTTGGAATTCCTACTATCAAATTGCCATGTAGTCAGAAGAGATCTAAGCAATTATTCTTTTTCTCCATAATGCAAATGGTAACATTCAAAATAAAATCTTCAACACGAAAAAATTTCAAATGACATGATTTTCCATCTTAAGTGTCCTTTTAAAGTTAAGGTGTGACCAAAAACAAGGTGTAAATAAGTTTCACAAAATGTCTAAAATCTTATAAACGACAAAAGCACAGAATTATGAAACTGTCTTACAGCTTACCACTTGACAAAGTTATCACACACCTGCTTTTCAGCTTCTCTTTCACTCAGGGTGCTTTGGAGCACTTTGTTTGTCAACCCTGCAGTAATTTTGAAGTGTTTGAGATGCTTTCTTACATAAGATACTACAATATGTAGAGATATCTAGACTGCATATGATATCCTGTCAAACCATTTGTGTCAAGCTGCTTACCACTAGCTTTGTGGTGATTCTGACACCATTCCCCCATGCTATCCAAACACTCTTTACTTTGATGGATAACCAAATCAGGGCCCTAAAATAATAAAGAGTTACATTACAAGTTTGGAATTTCACATGAAATTATGCTTATTAGTCAAATATAATCCAAACGTACACCTTTGTGCAATTAAAAATAGCACAAAAAGAAACTTTGCTATCTCATCTATACATACTAAGCTAAAGAAACTTATTTTTCTCTTTATGAGATGCAGTCTACACATGGAATCATTTATGAGATTAAAGTGAAGAATATGAACAGCAGGTTTATAAAATCTATAGCAAAATCAATTTTCCATATTAAACTTATCCACAAGTTCCATAAAAAGAGGGAAAAAGAAGCATCATAAAAATTAAGAAGGTTTGATGTCATCTACATGCAAATCATTCATAAGAAGATGCCATATATCTGCTTATCTCTTTTGTTGTATGCAATGTTCAAGAAAGCATAGTAAATATTAATTATTAATCTCCTTTGTCCTATAGCAGAAGTCTTGGAACAAACCCTCAAAAACTTTTAGAAAGCTATTTTCATTGCTAATTGAAAAATCTGTTCTTTCACCAAAGGAAGGAAAGCATTTATGTTACAGAACTACAAGGTTTCAGCTACTTTTAGGGTTGGTTTGAAAGACACAGATGACATAATTTTCGTGGAATAAAACTCAATTTTTGACATCCCTTTCAGCATCAGCTTCAAGCGAATTCATTGACAATCCACTCTTTCATTCTAAAAAATTTAAAGGCAATAATAAGATGACTTCTACATTAAACATCTTTTTTTTTTTTTTTTTTTTTTGGATTTTGTAAAAATCATCTTTTTGTTTTCTAATAATGAAAATCTAGTTTTCTTTTCTTGTAGTGTTTCAATGGCAATGAAAAGTTTAGTTTTCCATCAAAAAGAAGGTTCCATACATGCAAACTTTGTTTCATAAGATAGAACATCAACTGTCTTACTTTATAGAAAATGGGTATAAGAAGCTACAAAGTTTTAAAACTGAAATCCTTCAGGATTTTTTTTTTCCCAGTTTCTCCACAACATGTGCGAAGAAAATTATCACAGTTACCAAATCCAGATTTCTCACTCGAATGCAGTAACTCATATGGCAATTAAAATGTTAAAGCGGGCTCTTGTCTCTCTTTGTTTTTTTGAATAATGTTTACATTACTTGATTATTCCATCTTAAAGTTCTAATTTCATGAACTCAATTCATGCTATTTTAAATACATTCACAAACATCAAATATAAATTTCTTATCATTCATATCACTGTAATGTCCACAGAAACTCCAGACATATAGAGGAAGATGCAAAAGAATTAATGGAAGTAGTAGTACTCAATCTTATGCTCTCAAAAGTGTACTAAAGAATACAATACAGTCACAATGAAAGAAGAAATCTATCCTAAAACTCTTCAAACCCCTAAAATAGTTCTTTTACAGATGTTCGCAGTACGATAGCCAATTGACTTTTGAGTATTGAATAAACCAATCAAATTCAATAGTTTTCTACATGATGTAGTTTCTTCCTTACAAGGTACTAAATGGGATACAATGAAAAATATTAAGGAGGAGCAAGGAGTATGATCTTTCTAAAATGTTATATAGCAATATCAAACTATGGAAACATCTATATACATTTAAAATGACTAAAGAAATTGAAAAAAAAAAAAAATTAAATGAAATAGGAAAAAAGAAAAGAAAAGAAAAGAGGCCTGCAAATAGGCCCAAAATGCACTTCAAAATAGGATATGTACCTCCACCGATTTTGTCAAATTTCCATCTGTAATTATACAAGCAATCTCCAGTATTCGATCAGCTTCAACGTTCAAACCTGTATAGCAAGAAAAAGAATTATAAAAGGATTGCCTATCTTCTTTATCTTCTCACATCCAGTCAATATAGATTGTTTTAATGCTTCTACTAACAGACAATGTACAGGTACGCTTAGGAAAGAAATTTTACGTTTAAAGGAATGCAGTCAAGAAAACCATCTTATGGACAAAAGAATAGTGTAGCCACAACTTTTTCAAGAATATCAAATGTTTTCAATTTATGCTACAGGCAGCAACAATTCTTACAAAGGGATAAACAGAATGTAGGCTCGTATATTTGTTGGGGGTGACCAGAAAGAGGTTTGATTGTGGTTGTGGCTCGGCCACTGAAATATTCAGACTATTCTTTGGGAGGTAATCCTGGGGCCTAGGAATTTTGAGATTCATCGGTGGAGATGGTAGAAAAGAGACTTGGTGAGGTGAAAACATACTTTTAATTCCACTGTTATAATGATGTATAAAATACAGAAGATAATCAAAGACTCACCACAGGAAGAGTAGGCTAAGGGAAAACAAATCATCTAACTAGAAAAGGGTAATTTCTCCATATAAAGTTACTTCTCAGGAAAATAATTCATTTTCATTGCTTGTGCCACTTAGGTGGTTGATTGGAAGGCAATAAGATTTCAGGGTTGATTGTGGATAAGTGACTTTTTTATGTTTGTTATTTTGTAGCTTAAACTGACAGTCTTCATCTTAAAATTCCACAATTAGAAGTTCATAGGTCCAGCTTATATATAGAGAAGGAATGCAAATTTATTTTTGTACCTTTAATGTAGGCAGAAGACTTCCCATGTTTTCTGATATTTAAAAAGTTCACTTTGTTTACAAAAATCTCCAAGCATGCAAAGAGCTACAAAGAATAAAGTTATGCCAATATGTGAATCTCACCAACTTTGCAAACAAACTTCCATACAAGCCAAATTAACCAAGAAGCATCCTACAAAATTCAAGTTCATGGCAAATATTCTCACCACCAGCCTAACAACATCATCACGTAATTACGATACACAACAAAGACTAAGAGTTTTATTTATATTTTAAGCCCTCATTTGAAGGATTTAGGCATACTGAGAAACTTCCAAATAATCAACTCTTTTTTTCTTTTTGTGAGACTTTAAATTTACCCATAATTCAAAATACATCCAACTCCGGTAATTTGTTAGGAAAGCTTAATTGAGCTTGTTAAATTGCACCTGATCATAAAGAATGAAGCTATTCATGGTATCAAACGAAGAAAAAAGGAACTAAAATGACAATATAATAACCTAATTGCTAAGGAAAACCACAAAAATAACAATTTAACAACATAAAATTACCAGTCATTTCCAAGTCAATCCACACAAGGGGCATTTTGTACTTTAAACGATTCTCAGAATTTTCTGGATTTTTTTTCTCATTTTTTACCAGCTTGGCATCACTAGAACTTTTTGCTTTATTTTTGGCTTGACCTGCAATTTTCATGATGAAATTATAGAAGAATTAAACCCTAAAAATAAAAAATTTGAAAATAGATTCACAAGAAAACCGCAAAATATAAGATGTTGAAATGAAAATGATAGTACCTGAATTGCTAGAAGAGGAAGAAGCAGAGGAGGATTGAAGTTGATCATCTTCAGCGTCGAGCTCTAATACAGAGAATATATTTGAGAGGGTATCCATTCTTCTTCAGTCTTAAGTTTGGCCCGGGGCTCATGGGTAAAGATGATGACACCTCACCCGCTCCTATATACCTAAACCCTAAATCACCCAAACTCCCCAACTTTACGTAGAAGAAGTATCCTGCAATTTCAATTTTCTTTCTTTAGTCCAGGGGAATATATTCGTTAAATGCTATTTCCCCGGGATAATGACTGAAAACCCCCGAGGTTTCTCTTCCCAAAATCCCCTGGAGTATCAGGAATAACCCTAAAACCCCTGCCGTTGTACAGACATTTAAAATCTGCGTCAGAAGTGTTAAATATTGCCCTTGGACCTTCACTTTGTTATTTAATACTAAAATTTTTTATTTAATAAATACAAAATAATAACAATAACAATAATAATAATATAAAAAACATAAACCATCCCCCTTTTTCTTTTAACCCACGACCTTCATTCCTCTCATTCCACATTATTTTTATTGAATAGAGATTGGGTAGGGATATGATTTTATCTTAATCTATTATTTTTATTTAATTATATGTTTTTATCCTGAATAATGTATTTGTTATAAATACAAGTATTTGGAATAATAAAGAAGTCAGTTCATACCAATTAAAAAGGATAAATGCCCCTAACCAATTGTACTAACCCCTATACTAATTAAAGTGGCAAATGTCTCCTCATCTACCACGTCACTTAATTGCCACATCAGTTCCCCCCAAAAACTTAAAAAAAAAATTCAAAATTTTAATTGCCTCCCCCAAATATATCAAAAGTCTCTCTCAAATTAAAGACCTAAAATCAAAAATTGAGAACCNTAATAAAGAAGTCAGTTCATACCAATTAAAAAGGAGAAATGCCCCTAACCAATTGTACTAACCCTTATACTAATTAGGGCTGTTCAAAAAAATCCGATATCCGATCATGATCCGCTCTGCTTCGATCCGAAAAAATTGGATATCTGAAAATTCGGATCGGATACGGATCGTAATTTTAAAAAATCTAAATATTCGAATCAGATACCGGATCGGGATTGTTAAAAAAGCGGATATCCGTATCCGATCCAGATTTTACTAAAAGTCTAAAACTACGTCGTTTTGATTTTTAAAATAACCCTAAACTAAAACTACGTCTCTCTCGCTCGAACACGCACAGACACAGACACAGACACACAGTCACTCAAACTCTCTCAGACTCATATCTTAGTCTCTCTCGGCCTCTCGCTCAACTCTCTCACTCGAACACTCACAATCACAGACACAGTCACTCAAACTCAACTCTCTTAGATCTCAGTCTCTCTCGCTCGAACACTCACAGACACAGTCACTCAAACCAAACTCTTTCAGATCTCAATCTCTCTCGCTCAACTCTCTCAGTCTCTCTCGCTCGACACTTGACAGACACTCAAACTCAACTCTCTCAGTCTCTCGTCAACAACCCCAAATCATTAGTTCCTCTCCTAAATCCCTAATTGAAGCCCCAAATCAATCGTAAGTAAATTTCTTTAGATTTACTGAATTTTCTTTTTCCCTTTCGAAATTGTAGTGTTTTCCATTATAAATTGCTGAATTTTCTACCTTGTTTTGTGATGGATGCTTTGACTATGGATTGTTTGTTGGATCTTCATTCATGGTTTGTTTACTGAATTATCTTTGATAATAAAGGGATTAAGTTAAAGCTTGTACTTTTTCGTAGGAAATTTGATGAATTTTATGATTAAGTTTCTGGTTCAAATTCTGAATTGGTCACATGAACTGCCCAAATAACCTTATGCAATTAATTTTGTTGTTAATCTTAAAAGTTGTTTATTGAAATAGTTTATTTGTTTTATTTTGTTTTGTGCAGGAGGATGATGACGAGTAGGAATTGGCAATGAAGATAGCATAGTCAATATTTAGACTATGACAGTATTTGGACAACATATGTTAAATGTTTTGTGCTTCATGTTAATTTTTTTAGATACTTTTATCATGTAAGAGAATTATAATTTCAATTTTATTGCTAGAATTATTTGATTTTAATAAGAAAATTTTAAAATTTGGATCAATTTCGGATATCCAATTATCTGATCCGAATAATCAGATATCCGTAAAACCGGATATCCCCATAATTCGGATCAGGATATAGCCTAATCTGAAAATTCGGATCGGATCAAAAAAACCCTATTCAGATCGGATATCCGGATTTGAACAGCCCTAAATTACTAATTGAAGTGGCAAATGTCTCCTTATCTACCATGTCTCACTTAATTGCCACATTAGTTCCCCCAAAAGCTTAAAAAAAATATTCAAAATTTTAATTGCCTCCCCAAAATATGTCAAAACTCTCTCTCAAATTAAAAGCCTAAAATCAGAAATTGATAACCCTTCCTCTAAAATTGAAAAATCTCTCCCACCGTCGACCCACCTCTACCACCTCCACTGCCGTCGATCGTCGTCTCCCACCACCTACGCTGGCTCTCGTCTCCCACAACCACCACCTTCTGTTGTCATTCCCAGATGCACCAATCTCAGAAATTGAGAACTCTTTCCCTAAAATTGAAAAATCTCTCCCACCATCGAGCCACCTCCACCACCGCCGATTGTCATCTACCACCACCTACGTCGACTATCATCTCCCATGACCACCACCTTCTATCGTNGCTCTCGTCTCCCACAACCACCACCTTCTGTCGTCATTCCCAGATGCACCAATCTCAGAAATTGAGAACTATTTCCCTAAAATTGAAAAATCTCTCCCACCATCAAGCCACCTCCACCACCGCTGATTGTCATCTACCACCACCTACGTCGACTATCATCTCCCACGACCACCACCTTCTATCGTCATTCCCATATGTGCCAATTTCCCCAATTTCTGTTCAATTTTTACCGCTCATCTAAAAGTCAAATTCTCAACAATTTCTTAGCAGATCTCATCTCAATTTTATTACACACCTCGAACGCTGGTTTCCATAACTCGCCAAACGCCGCCACGCCTCGCCAATTTCCCCCACTTTCGTTTAAGTTTTTATTTATTTTTTTATATAAATTAATTCATCGAAGCAATGCGTGTTTATTTGGATGATTCAAAGTCCCCACGATTCCCTAATCGCTATCCAAAGTCCAAACCAAACACAATTGTCACAAACCATCCACCATCAATATCATAACCCACAAACATAAAATAAAAGCTACAAATCATCCACCTTCACAACCCACGAACAAAAACCAAAATCAATAGTATCCAGATAATTACCAAATCAAGATCAGAACATGCTTCTTCATAACAAAATCAAGACCAAAACTTACTTGATCGTTTGTGATGAATCTAGAGAGAGACAAAGCTAAAGAAGATGAGGGACTAAGCTGAAGACGGGGATGAAGCTAAAAAAGGAACGAAGGAGAAGGAACAATGAAGCTGCTCGCCTCTGGCTGTCTATGCTACTAGAGAAGGAAGAATGGAAGAAGAATGAATGAAATAGAATTGGGGATTTAGCCTTTACTTTAGGGTTTATTGTTTTTATTTTATATTTTATTATTTTTGTAATAAACCGGTTTATAAAACCAATTTCAGTTAATCGATTCCCATAATCCCGTAAATCGATAACCAAACTGGAAAACCAATTTTTGTATTTCTTTGAATCAAAACCAAACCGGTTCTCTGGATAATCGGAAAACATGTTTGGTTACTAGTTCGATCACCAATTCAATTCGGTTTCTGCATTTTTTTAACACCCCTAAGGGGTGAGGGGATAGGTTATTGAACTTTTTAGCTTGTCTATACATAAAAAGTGGAAACTTATGTTTTCATACTAATATGAGAAATTTGTTAGAGTAGATGCCTTTGAGCCAATCAATTATTGTAGAATTGACTCTCTGAAATAATGTTTATTAATCAATAAAAGGCAATCTTCTTCTATATCATGTAAATCATAATTGTGTGTATTGATATATGTCCTTAGGATGGTAGAACCATGACGAGGATATCAAGTGTTTCAAATCTTGATAATGAGAACCCTATGATCACATATGGTGGCCATTTTAGAAATGTTCGTAACCCTAGTATTATTCTGACCAAGGACACAGATAATAAGGTAAGACTATCACAGTGTTGAACAACCCTATCGAAAGACAGTGACTGATCTCACTTGTCAAGGTTGTTTGCCGACAACCTGTTACAACACATGGGTGTTTGTTGTTGGCAAGTTTACTAGGCAGACCTACCAGAGGATTCCATATAGATGTAACCCCAATGTCTATGGAATAAATCATCTGACGAATAGTGGTGCATGTGATCCTTAGACTTGAGATCACCAGAGCTTCTTGTGCACTGATTGGTGTATTTTGACACCAGCCTAACGTAGTTCTATTCAGAGCTATCAATATGGTAGTGATAGGCTAGATTGAGAAGTGTATCAAGACTATGGTGGATCAACAAAGGATTTATCACTCCCGGGTACGAGAAAAGTTATCTCATGGCGCAATTCAGTGAATGACAATGACACTAAAGTTGTGGCCACAGTGGGATCGAGTTGTTGCTCAATCCAATTTATTATTCTGGTCATTGGTCCAGTAACTGAATACAAAGATATCGAAGATAATTGAGGTTGACACTATTTCTATACCCCATCCTCGATGAGATAACAGATGATGAAATGATCAGTTTGCACGATAACCATATCGTTGATAGGCAAACTGTTTTGCTGAATCCAAATCTATCGGGTGGCCATGATGTCTTGCTAGAGGCCAATCTTGGTCTGTGTTTAGTGAGACGATTGATTGGTGTCAATCGCAAGACTACTCATTGCCGATATGATGAGGACCCTTCGGGTCACACACATAGAAGACAGATTAAGGATGAATTGGTGAGAAAGGGCATTTTCATCATTTATGATGGAAATGATATTTTCGTCTTTTGAGATGAAATGTCATTTTGATAATCTCACAGTGCAATTAAATTTGCTGAGGTCGTTACCTATATTTAATTTCATATTGAAATTAAAATTAGTGAGATTATGTATTTAAATATATTCATATATTATATATATATATTATTTAATATTAATATTAGTGAAGATAATATATGAATATGAATCATTTTTGAATTTGAATAAGATGCCATGTGGATTATTACCTTGTTTGGTAACAAGGATTTACTATTCTAGTCATGGAATAAATTTATTCCTAACTAGATTAGGGTTTAATTTTTGTTGCATATAAAAGGCAACTTAAAATTAAAATAAAATTGGAGAACACATGAATTAAATCCAAGCCACTCACCTCACTCTCTCTCATGTTTTTTCACTTGGTGGAGAAGAGATTTTTTCAAGATTTTGCATCCTTTTTGCTTGTGTGTCTTGCTAGCACTTGAGACCGCAAGTCGATCGTCGTCCTGTCTTCGTGTGGATACCGAGAGTTCACTCTTATCTTAGAATGGGAGCGATTCGTATCGATTGAAGGAGCCTCCAAACACTGCTATGAAATCTGGAAAATTTATATTCAATATCATTTCATATGTAAATAACGTAAATCAGGTATAAGGTTATTGGGTTCAATGTTGTTTTTGGGGATTTTATTTTTAATTTCTGCTATGCAAGCCTTATCAGCCACTAATAGTGGTATCAGAGCCTTCCATATACCTTTTACGTTGTTATTCAATGTTTGGTTGAATTGATTTCAATATGTATCGATTATGTTATTGCATGATGCGTAAAAACTGATTTTTTTTTGTGTTAAAAATCTGATGCGGTTGATGTGATGCTAATCTAATTCTTTGCATCTGTTTTTGGGGGATCGAAATCAAATAAAACTTGATTCCGATCAGAGGAGGATGCTGCCTTGTAGGGTGGCATGTTGCTACTATGTGCTACCGCGCATGGCAGTAACAAGAAACAACATATGATGCTGCTTCATAGATTGCGTGCAATAGAGCGTAACAATAGTGTTGTTGCCCGCTGCTGCTCACAGAGGAGTGCTGCCCACATGCTCACATGCTCCAGCATGTGGCCTTGGGCTGTGCCGCTGCAAACAGCACAACAGTAGCCTTGTGCAACTACACCAAGGCTACTGTCACACGCAGTAGTGGCGCATGCGAATGCGCCGTTGTTGTCCTCTTGATTGGCTGTTGTTTTGGGGCTGCCCCATGGTGGCCAAGTGCTCCTAGCACTTGGCCTCGATTGGCACTTGGTTTTTCAGCCAAGGGCCTGATCTGGTGCGCGTTAAAACGTGCATCAAATTTGGATTTTTTTGGGTAGCCCACGTAAAGATGCAATGGGTTGAATTTTGGGTCGTGATCGCATTGTTGTGTGATATTTTTTAATCCATAATTTTCTAAAAAATGTTGCTACATGTTAGAAACATTTTGGAGGCCCAATTTAGTGAGGCCCGTTAACAAGGGACTAAAATAAAAATTTTAATACTCGTTGGACTTAAATGCAACACTATCAAAATTCAAGGGGTAACTAGTAATTTACCAACCTAATCAAAATTAAATTTTGATTATTTATGCATGATTCTTGTTTGCGAATATGCATGGTGCTTGTTGCATAAGCCTATGAACCTAGTTTAATTGTTTTGGGTTATGTAATTTAAAATAGAGCCCGCGTGCCCTGCCTTTCTCTAAACCTCCAATGTAACTTCTTTCTCTCATTTCACTCTCGTCGAATGTAACTTGAGGTTTCTTTTCAATAATGTAAAATGCAATTTTATTTTTGAAAGTTGTGTAATGTTCAAGAAGAAGAAGCGATGGAAGGGAAGGAGGCAAAATTACTTGAAGAATCCATTTCCTTTTAAACCGAGGTTGACCTACCAATTCCTCTTGACTTAAGGAAATCGGTTTTAGTTAAGGCTATGCACCAACACGTTTATTTTATGCTTAGTATGCATGCTAAAAGTTTATGTTATGACTATAACATACTAAGAAAGATAAAATTGATGAGACATAAAATAATAATAAAAAAGCATCCCTCAACTAAAGTATATTAAGTCAAAATTGAAATGCCTTCCATCACCATGTCTTTAATCAAACCACTATTCGTTGGAACCTTGTTCGCCAAAGCAAAGGGTACACTTCTACCAGTGGGACATCAAAGTTCAATGGAGTTTTCCTTAATGGTGATGGGTCGACTTAAAATGACGTGTTTTGCTTGTTCGCCAAAGCGAATGTTGATAAACATGTCATAGGCATAGTAGAGAAGTACACTTGTTATGTGTACGTGGCGGCATGTAGTGTCCACCCTACTGATACTGAGAATAACACTTGAGGGCAATGGCTTTGATCATCATATTGTGTGATTGGCTTGTTTCACATTTGAGGTTGGTAGTGAGAGCTATCAACTGATGTGGATTAAGTTTGTTGGCCTACATAATCAACCCATTTTGGCTTGTTTGCCAAAGCAAATGTTGAAATGGGCTAGATGGGATCTCAGTCCACTAGGAAAGCCAACGGCCTTTCTCAAGTTAATAGTGAGGGCTATTGTCTTAAGGAAAATAGTGGGAGCGTTTTTAATAAAAGGCCTTATTAAATAATAATAATAAACATTGTAATAACATTTACTTGTTCTGCACTTGTAGATTCACTTAAAAATTTCAGTAATATGATCCCATCATTACTGTGACAAATTATCGAACTGGGAGACAAATGGAATGGTGAGAATTTCATTGACTGGTATAGAAGTATAAACAATATACGTCAGTCAAGCGATAGATTATACACCATTGAGCAGGCTTTGTCACCAAAGCCTACTGATAGTTCTATCCATCAAACAGGGTATATATATATGAAGCATACACATGATGCAAAAGCAGAAATGACAAGATCCATTGTGCTTGCATCAATGACACCATTATTGCGATAGCAGTGCCAAAATATGGACTTAGCTTCTATTATTTATTTTCTCCATAGAAATGAGAAGCGTATGGGGTCTCAGTCACTGTTCAGATGCAAGATGGAAGAGGGTACCAAAATTGGCGATCATATACTCAAGTTGACTGAGTATGAACAAGCTTGAGATTTTAGGATGCCGACTTAATGAGGGTTTAGCGATAAACTTAATATTATAGTCTTTGCCAGATTCTTACTCTCAATTTGTTTATGACTTCATTGAGGATGGTAAGAAGAATACCCTTTCCGAGCTTCTGGATATCTTAAAGGCTAAACATTGACATTGGTTGAAGTCAACTCAAGTGAGAAGGAAAAGGCTCAAAATTCGTTGGAAGGAACTGTTGTAGATAGGAAGGGCGTTTGTCCTCAATGTGGGAATCCCAACCACTAGAGGAAATATTGTAAGGCCTTCATAGCAAAAAGGAAGAAGAATGCTACTTCTTCGTCAGATACGTTCATGATTGGGATTAACTTCTCCCGTTAACCCCATGGGTCATTGAAACAGGATGTGGTACTCACATTTGTTCTAATGTGCAGGAACTACGGTAAAGTAGATTGCTCACCGAGGGAAAGGCGGACCTATCAGTTGGA